TATTTAAAAAATAAACAAAGCCTAAGGGAAATACCAAAATACTCACTTTTCAAGGAACAATTGCTCTATTATGCATCTCACGGCTATTATAATGGATACATTTTCTTATCTAGCATATTTAGAAATTATTTCCAACTTACATAGAATCAAAATTGAGCTGCGTTGTCATGCTTAATCCAATGGCTTTAATTTCGGGGCTTACAGAGGAGAAGATCTTGGTGTGCTCAGGCCTAACAACATTTGCTTATATAAAGTTTTCCTGTTAAATCTGTCAATATTAAATGATCATGTTCATTCGTTGGAGGCCTTGAATTGAATGATATAGTACTTAGTACTTTTCATTCAGTGATACAAACTTCATCATTCATATGTTAATCACAAGTTTCTCTCAATTATTGAGTGCTTGTTGATTATATCAAAGGTCATGTTTACTTGCTTGGCTGTCATTTTCTTTCTTTCTTTTCCTCTTCCTCTTCCTCTTCTTCTTCATTTCCCCCCTCTTTATGTTACTCATGGATGTAAATGCCTTTTTTCCCCCTCTCCAAAATAACAAAGAAAATAAAAGGTGAAGCCTTGGCCGAACATAAAAAGCCTGAAAGAATGAGAGAAATTCAATCCAAATGCATTTTTGGCCAGTATATTTGTAATTACAGCGTGAGCAGGTTCGCCAATGATAAAGTTTAGCCATGTCAAGGTCAAGATGAAAGATCGAAAGACGCTTAGGAATAGTATGAGCTATGCTGAGTACTGCCCTATGAAATCAATGGAGGCATCACCTGGATGTGGGAAGATAATAACTTGTTCTCTATAAAAGATACCTTTCGTTATATCTGTTGTGACTGATGCTTTGAGAAACCAAACCAACGAACGCCGAGAGAAAGACCAAACAAAACACAAACACCAAGGTTTTACGTGGTTCGGCAAATTGCCTACGTCCACGGGGCAAGAAGGGGGTGGGTTTTTCACTAATAGAGAAGGAGAGTACAAATTGAGATTACAAATCGCTCAAACGAACCAACTAATCTCACCAACAAATCTCTCAATCTCTCAACCAATAACCCTAACAAATAGCTCAGAAAGATCTCTCTTTTTCTGTGCTCCAAAACCCCAAAACTCTCCTCACAAAACCCTCAAATCGTATTGGTATTTATACCAAAACAGAAACCCAAACAGACTGCAAATAGGAACCTGAACTTTCCAAAAAACCCGTCATAAGTCGACTTATCAGTCTGCATAAGTCGACTTGGCAGAGCGAAAAACAGCAACTGGAGAAGAGATCATAAGTCGACTTATCAGACCTGATAAGTCGACTTGGCAGAGCAAAAAACCAACAATCCAGAGCAGAACGTAAGTCGACTCATGCACCAACATAAGTCGACTTACCATAAGTCGACTTATGCCTGTGCATGAGTCGACTTATGACCAAAAATCTGCTTTTTCCAATTCTTCTCCACAATTCTCCACCTCGGCGAAGTTTTCCCAAAACTGAGCCGACACCAACCAAACAAATGCCTCACATGCTGAGACCCAAATGAGAGTGCGAACACTCACCCCAAATGTCGATGTCGCTCACCAAATCGGCTGCATCAAAATGACTGCCTACGTATCCTTTGCCCAAGGAATCAAGCCTTCACGTAGTTCACCCAAACGGCCTCCAAAGGCCCTCAATCAAATAGAAAAGTCTGCAACTCTTCTCCAATATCACCAAACGATCTGCAACTGATAGTATTCCCAATGACCCCAAATTGAGACAAATCAAACACCTCCACCTGAGGTAAACCAATGGCCATATCCAAACTATATCTACCAGCTGCAACTGAATCCAAAACCAATCCATCATCTGCATCCAAAACCAAATGATCTCCAACCTGTGTCACCTTAGCTGGAATCCCAAATGACGCAGTATGATCTGGAGTATGTGGAGTAATCTCCACCCAACGTGGAGTAGCATCACTCTCCACCTGCTGCGATATCCAAATGACCTGATCAACACTCTCCACCTGCCGAGAGTCAAAAGTGACATACCTGCTCAGAACAAAATCAGAAGCTCCCAAACGATAATCAACTGAGCCTCCGAACCCCAAACGCGCAATCGGATCCAATCTCACATCCACGATGTGACCAAATGCTGGGTATCCAAATATCCGACGCGACCCAAAATCTGAAGCAGCTCCACCAGATCTAATAACTCCTAAAGCAGCAGTCGGCGACCTATGCATAAGATGACCCAAATATGTCGAAGCCCGCACACCAATGCCAATGCTCGACATCAAACGCCGATCCTCCTCCAGAAAGGAACGACCCATCGAAACTGTCATCTCATCTCGTCGCCCCAAAGTCTCCACACCAATGAAGTGTCTCCTATTGCCGTGAGCTCGGCACCAACGCAAGAAAGGACCCCTACCAAAGCTGAAACAATGAGTTACCTTTCTGCCAATACACTTCTTCCAATTGTTGTTGACTTCTAGGACTTTACACCAACGGGAACTGGTCGCGACCCAATAATGCCTAGAACAATCACCAACTGTGGAAACCAAGATACGATTACCTCCCAATGATGCCTCCTTGGAAGGCCCCCAAATGCCTGACTGAACACCTCCAAAAAGACCCCTCGCTCGATGGATAGAAGTGCCAAACTCCACCACGGTCTCGCTCATCCTAATGTGCTCACAGGACTTCAATCTGCAGGTCATAGCACTCCTCAACAACCAATGCACGGTATTACCAATCATATACCCCAGCACCAAACAATGCCACAGTCTAGCCGAATCTGATGAAGTCGTCATTTCCCTATCAATCACCGTGCTTCCGTGCAAATAATACAAATTTCTTCTTCTGACGCCCTTCATCACAATCATGGACCCAAATGTAACCTTCAAGCGTGCATCCGCCAAGGTCACCCTATAGCCAGCTGCCTCCAAAGCTCCAAGTGAAATGATGTTCTTCTTCAACTGAGGAACGAACCTCACTCCAACCAACTCCCGAATCACCCCGTCACTCATCCTGATCCGAACAGTACCAATACCACCAATAGAGCATTTGTGATCATTCCCCATGAGCACGAAATCCCCTCTTTCCAACTCCTGAAAGCTGGAGAACCAATCCCTCCTAGGGCAAATGTGGTATGTAGCACCCGAATCCAATATCCACTCTGTAGAGTAGGCAACACAAACTGACGGCAGTGCAGATAACGAGTAGCCCGAAGAATCCGAATCTGAATCGTTGCCACTAGCCTTGACAACATTCGCCTCTGAAGCTTGAATAGCTTTTCCCTTATTCTTCCCGGCTCGATCAACTAACTTTGGGCAATCGGCTTTCCAATGTCCATCTTCTTTGCAAAAGGCACATTGATTCTTACGAACTCCAAGATGTGCCCCTCTAGACTGCGACCTCCCACTACGGTTTGGACCCTTTGCTCTTGCGACCAACGCCCCCGCTACCGGCTCAAACGAAGTCTCCTTATCCTTCTTTCGAAGCTGATAATTCACAAGTGCAGCGGTGACCTCACTATACGAAAGAGATGCCTTCCCATTAATAAGAGTAAGAACGAAGGTCTCATATTCCTCGTCAGGCAAGGAACTCAATAGCAACAACGCCTTGTCCTCATCTTCAATCTTAACATCCACATTCGCCAAATCCGCAAGAAGCTTCGTGTAGTGGTTCATGTGATCACCAATGGAGGTTCCTTTCTTCAACTGGAAGCGGTAAAGCCTCCTCTTCAAATGCAAGCGATTCTCCACACTCTTGGTCAAATACTTGCTCTCAAGGATCTCCCAAATCTTCTTTGCAGAAGTCTCATTGATCACATCATACTTTAGATCTTGAGTGAGACAAGACCTAATCACACCACACGCCGTTCGATTCATCTTTTTCCAAACCTTCTCATCAATGTTGTCCGGTTTCCCGTCCAACTCCAACGTATCTTCCAAATTTTGCGCGTTGAGCGCATCCATGACTTCGCATCGCCAAAGTCCAAAATTGTTTGTGCCATTGAACTTTTCCACATCAATCTTCATTGAGTGGATATTCAAGCTTTGGACGGTCTTCACGCCGGAAGTACTGCCCACAACTCCTTCTTTCTCGGCCATAATCCTCAAGGCACCACCAAACCAATGCGGAAACAAACGAGAAATAGATCCAAACTGAAAAAGACGAGATTTTTACAAAAAAAGATCCCACCTTTATCACCAAACGAAGCCCTAGATGAACTTCCAAAGCGATCTACTCCTCCAAATAGCCCAAGCGTTGCCCGTGCTCTGATACCACTTGTTGTGACTGATGCTTTGAGAAACCAAACCAACGAACGCCGAGAGAAAGACCAAACAAAACACAAACACCAAGGTTTTACGTGGTTCGGCAAATTGCCTACGTCCACGGGGCAAGAAGGGGGTGGGTTTTTCACTAATAGAGAAGGAGAGTACAAATTGAGATTACAAATCGCTCAAACGAACCAACTAATCTCACCAACAAATCTCTCAATCTCTCAACCAATAACCCTAACAAATAGCTCAGAAAGATCTCTCTTTTTCTGTGCTCCAAAACCCCAAAACTCTCCTCACAAAACCCTCAAATCGTATTGGTATTTATACCAAAACAGAAACCCAAACAGACTGCAAATAGGAACCTGAACTTTCCAAAAAACCCGTCATAAGTCGACTTATCAGTCTGCATAAGTCGACTTGGCAGAGCGAAAAACAGCAACTGGAGAAGAGATCATAAGTCGACTTATCAGACCTGATAAGTCGACTTGGCAGAGCAAAAAACCAACAATCCAGAGCAGAACGTAAGTCGACTCATGCACCAACATAAGTCGACTTACCATAAGTCGACTTATGCCTGTGCATGAGTCGACTTATGACCAAAAATCTGCTTTTTCCAATTCTTCTCCACAATATCATTGTATGAGCTACAGGATTGTGTCTAATGTAGTTAACAAAATCGAGATGACAGCTGAAAATTAACTACACACTGCTCAAATCAATAAATAGAAAGCTTTTTGGACAAGGATTTTTACTGTTATATATTAATTATCAAGTAACAACTTTGTGACACAGAACATCCAGGAAATATCAAAATAGAATTTGTACAAGCTTTTGTGCAAATAAATGTTTTGCATAAGCTAGTAATTAGTTGCAAGCCAAGAAACCACCCAAAATTCAGGACAACTCTATTAACTCATGTTCCACGCAACTCTGTTGGCGTAAGTGTCAGCAGCAACTCTTCTTCCATGTTCCCTCCTTTTGCCCTCTAATCTTTTCCTGCACGTAATGCTAGTGATGATGAAGTAATCAAATAAATGTTGTATATATTCATAGCAACAGAACTACAGTTACCAGAAGAAGAATTAAAAAAAAACTTTTTGAAAAATAATTAGCAAAATCGACCGTTTTGTAAAATTATTAGCAAATTGAACTCTTATTTAAAAAGAGGTCGACTTTGCAAAAATTTAGCTTTAAAATACACGGGACCAGTAGTCTCGTATATTTAGTTCTCATTAATTAAACCTTAATCATTTCAGCACAAAGTACACAAGATGATCATTTCAGATTAACCATTTCCATATGCTTTAACTTTATGAATATTTCTATAAAATGCTTATCACTCCTCTCACAAATGCAAAATATTAAAATTTTGGAGTAAATAGTTGGTAGTAATATCATACTTATGTTTTGTTATGATAGTATTAAAAGCCTCTATCTTCTCTAATAGAAAACTAAGCACATGACTATTAAGCTTTCATCAGAGAACTTCTCATAACTTCCCTGAAATACCAGACTGCATCCTCAAGTGTACTCTTCAAAATAGATACCTATGCAAAATTTAAACTATTTTAACCAAAGCCCATAGTTGGTCTGCTCTGAAAAGTGAAAGGCTCTTTCAGACACAGATAACTATTTGGTTTGAGATCAGAACGTTATCTTACAGACAACTAAAAAATATTTGTGGATTTTTGAATTTTACTCCAAAGGATAGAACAACTGTACATCTACAATAAAGCTATCCGTAAACATCACCAAAGTTCAGACAAACACCATCTCTCTCTACCAGCAGTAAACATATTTAGAGTTCAGTGTATAAGAGCTCATTGGGAACTATTGGTGACACCAATTGCCACTAAGTCTCACCAAATGGTGAGGACCAAGGATGGAGATAAACTGAATCGAATCAAATACAATGATGTTCAAATTTGAATTTGCTTAGTTTTTTTTGGAGAATTTGAATTCGATTCAAATGGGGAAACTATATTCGATTTCAATTAGTATCTATATGTTAGTGTTCGCTAACTGTTGAGACAAACATCTGTTAGCACAATTTGGTTGGGGTTAACGTTGCTGGATTTTATCTGAGGATTGAGGCATGGTGTTGGATTATAGACTTACAGTAAGTGCTAGGTTATGGCCTTTGTTAAAATAGATGGAGTAGCTTCAGATTTGTCATCACTACAGTTACTCTTGTTAAAGCAATTGTGATTGTGATGAATTGGAGCAATAGCATTATATAAACACTACAGAAATGTAATGAACATTAGCCTCTAAAGCTAACACCACGAGTACTATGATCAAACTTTCATATATCACTGTACATCATATTTGCAAAATTTAAACATTAATGAAAAGACTATTAACAGGATAATACATAAAGTTTCTCATTTTGTAGCTAAATATCCTCATTTTAAAAATTTTCAATACATATGTGTATTTCTTTTCTTAAAACTAAGTTTTTCTAATTGTGGATCCAAAAAAAAAAAGAACAACTTTCATATTTTGATATTAGACCACCAAATAGTTATGCATTTAGTTTACATGCTAAAGTCCATTTAGTTGTTTTAAATTATACCATTTTAGATTCCTTCCAAATTGTAATTACATAAGGGTTAAAAGTTGACCATCTATCTATACCTCGTATAAAAGTGGTTTGCCTTGTCAAAACTTTTGATTTCCATTTTTGCCCTTTTAAATTTGATAATTCTCAAATATATCATTAGTTGTAATTAATCATTCACTAATTATATATAACGTCTTATTAATTATGCATTTCCTCACTTTTCAAAACCTTTGGTCACACTATTATTTTATTATTGAATTATGTTATTTAATAGAACATTTGAAATTTATCCCTAATTTATCTTCACATAATATTTAAAATTCTAGAAAAATTAAAAATTAATAAAAATTCATTAGGCTTATGCCTTATACCTTTGGGTTTCACATCTAAAGGTTTTCCTAATTTATCCTCATATAAAAGAGGATTGCCTTGTCAAAACTTTTGATTTCCATTTTTGCCCTTTTAAATTTGATAATTCTCAAATATATCATTAGTTGTAATTAATCATTCACTAATTATATATAACCTCTTATTAATTATGCATTTCCTCACTTTTCAAAACCTTTGGTCACACTATTATTTTATTATTGAATTATGTTATTTAATAGAATATTTGAAATTTATCCCTAATTTATCTTTACATTATATTTAAAATTCTAAAAAAATTAAAAATTAATAAAAATTCATTAGACTTATGCCTTATGCCTTTGGGTTTCACATCTTATGGAGGACTACATGTTACCTTTCATCTTATTAGCCTTTTAAAAGTATGATAATAGTATCAAAAGCAATTTGTATTTATTGTAATTATAATAGTATTAATAGTATAATAATTTTAATAGTATTTTTTAAATTAATGAATTACATTGTAATTTAATAATTATACAATTTAGTAAATTATTTTTTTAATAGTATTTTTTAAATTAATGAATTACATTGTAATTTAATAATTATACAATTTAGTAAATTATTTACTAATAGTGTAATAAACTAATTATGAAACACATTGTAATTTAATAATTATACAATTTAGTAAATTATTTACTAATAGTGTAATAAACTAATTATGAAACTTAAATATAGTTACTAATAGTATTATAATTATGATATGTATAATATTGTTATATTTAAAAGAAAATACATTATTTAATATATTATAATTAAATTATGAACAAATTATAATAATTGTCCAAACTATAATAATTAATTGTACAATTCTTTATACACAATTTTATCGTACAATTTATTCATTTAAAAAAATTGTAATTGTTTAGAATTTATATTGCTATACAAGCCATTTCAGTATTTTGCAGCCAACAAAAAGAATTTAAAGAATATAAAACAAAATATGTATGCTCTTGTGCAAAGCACGTGCGCTATACTAGTACTATTATAAAAGCGGATGGGGATGTTAAAATATTTCTTCCCAAAATGTCCCAAACACATCCATACATGATACATACATACATTAACACACATATCTCTCATTATAAATATGATATAAGGCACATACATACATAACACATACATACTCGACATGATAAATACCATAATAAATGCAATATATACATTTATACACTATTATTACTATTATAAAAGTGGATTGGGATGTTAAAATATTTCTTCCCAAAATGTCCCAAACACATCCATACATGATACATACATACATTAACACACATATCTCTCATTATAAATATGATATAGGGCACATACATACATAACACATACATACTCGACATGATAAATACTATAATAAATACAATATATACATTTATACACTTTTATTAATAAACAACATAATATGCTTTTTTAGAGTAGATATGATAAATTCATAAACACACATAATCACATTGATAAATGCAATAATCAACCTTTGAATAATATGGGAGTTATGAAAGGTTTTCTCAACTGAATTCGGAATGGCAATCAAATGGTTTGTTCACGTACATACTCTAATTTGAATTTTATTATTTTCATAGCAAAACGCCCCTCTATCTCTTACCCAATTGAAACGCTTTTCAATTAAGATCATTTTCTATCTTAATTATCGCAAATTGAAAACTACACACATGATAAAATTGTAAAGCTAAACCATATTCTTCTTTATTTCATGGGGGATGGAAACATCATGATATATTGAAACGTTTGCAACCCCAGATCTGCTCCCCCTTAATAATAGCAAAGCAATATTTAAACCATATTCTTGCTACTTCATGAAAAATTGAAATACTTGTTAATAAGGTCTCAATCCATGGAGGTCCGGCAAGTTATCGAGCTCACCAAAGTCCGATCTCATAGGCGAGCTCCACTGAGAGTCTTAGGGCGAGTTTGGTTAATGTTCTTGAAGGGGTTGAGCTTAATACCGGCATGGTTAGCATCCACAAGTAGAAGAATATTATGGATTATAAATATACCGGAGACGGTTCGAAACAGAAAACCTCATGGGATATCTTTGAGTTTTAATGGATGGGTTTAATTTGCATTCTAATTTTTTATTATTCGAAATCCTATGATGTTGTTAGATTGTATTTGCTTTATACATATTTCTTTTACATTTGTCGTGATATGTTTGGCATTTACCACACAGTAAACCCCCAGTAACTTTCAAAATCGCACTAAACCTCAATACTTTTTGCAAAAAAACCCCAATATATTTTGGGTAAATTACATTAAGTCCCAAATGACTTTCAAAATGCCTTTTTATATTACTTTTTTGTTTTAATTTGTGGGGATTATCTGAAAATTTGTGGAAGCTTATTTGATGTTTTCTACAATTTCAAAAATTATTGGGGATTTAGTGCAATATATTTTGAAAGTTATTGGGGTTAATTACAAAATGTTGAAAGTTCTTAAGGGTTTATAATAATTTACCCTTTTGGATATATACAATGTGAGAGATCTTGATGAATACTAAGGAAAAATCAGCTTTTATGTTGTATTAATGATTTGGATAAGCATATATATCGTGAGAATGAACCAGTTTCTAGCTCTCACCACCAGTTTTGAAGTTACTTCAGTGTGACATTCCATTTTTGGAGCTATTAAACTTTATTTCACTTGATCCAAGTATATGGTTTCTTATTGGTCTTTAAATTGAGTATACATTTGCCTTTTGTTGGATAATTGAAGCATGTTAATTAGATATCTATTTCAAATTGATCACATGTTATTGGGGCCAGTTGTAAATCATCCGAAGCTACATTTCTTTTCTTGATGTTGCTTTACAATGTGAAGGATGAGTCCTTGAAAGTCATGCTTGCATCTACAATTTTAGCCTTTGTCAAAACACACATACTATATCTCAACCTCCAATCTTGATATGATGAGTTAATTGCTGTAAGTAGAACAAATAAAATTAAAGGGTTATTTGCATATATACCCCTTATATCATGGGTATTTGCAAAAATACCCTCAAATCTTAGTATTTGCAAAACTACTCTTCAAATCATCAATTTTGAAAAAAAAATTTACCATCAAAAAAATTAATCATCAACTTTGATAAGCTAATTTGTAATTGTAATATAAAAATATCAACAAAATAATCAATTTTTAGCACTAAGTTGATGATTTGTTGATTTTAGGGGTATTTTTCACAAAGTTGATGACTTCAGGGGTAATTTTGATGCTAAGATTTTGGGGTATTTTTTTACAAATACCCATGATTTAAGGTTTATATATGAAAATAACCAAATTAAGTTATTTATCTCTATTTTCATTTTATTTGTTTGGTTTATATGCAATTTTAAAGATATTTAGTTAAGTATAACTTTGTACAAAAAGAATAACTCTCAAAGAGATAAAATATACTTTTCCACTAACCCTTTACTAATTATTGCAATGCACCCACTAACATTGAAGATTAAGAGATTTAAATACAAAAATACTAAAGGAACATACAACAAAACTTTTCTAAATGAAGAGTTAGAAAACATGAAAATGTTCAAATAGATCTTAGAGCATAAAACAATTATTACTCTCTATACTATTGTAATTAAGAGGAAGTGTGAGAAATCAATAGGTTAATGACTTAGAAATTGTTGTTGGATTTAATTTTAATTAATTTTATATGTACTATTTATGATATTAACATTATAAATAGCATTGATTATATGATTTAATAATTGCCTTTTTTCTAGATTTAATTCTATATTTTCATATTCTTACATTCTTCTTCATTAGAAATAGAATGATCTAATCTTTTTATTTTTTTTATTAAATCTTACGCTCAATGTTTTAAACTTATTACATAAAAAACATCGAACATAAAACAAGTATGTCCAGATTTTAATCATTTCATACATAATCAATTTTAATTATTTTCTTACATAATAAACATATAATTTTTTTCCTTTTTTGTAATATTTAGCTTTTGTGGTTTATTAAACCTTATAATCAATGTTATAAACTTATTAGATAAAAAGTTAAAACATAAAATATGTCCACGTGCAACGCACGTGCACTATACTAGTATTAGATAAACAAGCATTACAATTGCAAATTAAATGTGAAATGAGCTATAGACCAAACATAATTGAAAAGGCTTCTTGTCCATCATTAATGTACTTTAAAATGATGCAAATATATTATGGGAAGCATGCATGTTAAGACAGCAGTAAACCGAAGTAATTGCCATCGGGAAAGTACCATTTGATGCAGGTAATGTTTTTTAGTAGCTCCACTTGTAATTTCATCCTCTATGGTTCTATCAACATAACTTGTTGCTGCTCTCCTTCTCTCTTTCAATTTCATTACTCACACCTCCTCTGTTGTTTTTGTGTCGAAGCATCACAAGAGACATAAATCCTGCAAAGATGTGAGACAATTATCAGCTCAGACATTTATTCAACTATATGCATATTAGCTCCTGTATGAAGTACTGTATATGCTGACAAATTTCCTTAAAATGCATATAAAACTAGAAAAAATAGGAGAAAAATACATAAAATGCAACACAAATAATAAACAGAAACAATTGGCACAAATTTTATATTAGATATATTTCCAAACAGCAAAAATAAACGGTTCACGCCTCCGTAGCAGCAGAGTAATCTGCAATGAGGTTTCCAACCAAACAACTGAGCTCCTAGAATTTATGGCTCCTTGACATGGAGCTTGTCATCTATTTGGAGGGTTGACTTTAAGCTAACCGGAAATTGCAAAACTTTCTCAAAATTTTCATGGGGCTGGTGCTTCACAGCAATCACCAGTCGTGTGGGAATAGGTTCAAAGAGAAATGTGCATCAAACTTTAAAGCACAATTTATTGTTAAACGAACTCATCTGTAGACTGCAGAAGTTGGAAGACTAAACCAACACATGCTTATAATATGGCAGGCGGCAAACTTCTAAATGCCTATACATCAATGTGTACCAGAACATAACAATATAACTCGGTATTTAAAATGTGTGCATCCTGCGAGATATATTAGTTTAAAAAAGCAGAAAACTTATTGCATATAATGAAAAGGAACCTGCTTTTATACTAAAACTCCATGTCATAGCATTGCGTTCAATAATATATTTAGCCTATTGACAAATCAGACAAAAAACATTAAGAACAAATGAGGGTGCATGAATTCCACGATTGCATCTTTGCGCTGAACAAGCTTCACAGATAGAAGTACCTGCAAAGATACGCATCTTAAAGCTCGACAAATTCCATAATATCATGGCTGTACATGTGGCCACAAGTTTCTTGCGAGGACAAGACTCCCATGCTCCCTTGACATAGCTTTTCACCTCTTCAACTGATTAAGTAACAGATCAACAAAAATTTCATTAATTAAGAGAACCGCTGAATAAATAATTGTTGCCGCATAAATTGAAGTAAAAAACATTCTCTTTACCAGGTTGGCCAATTTTCTCGGAATAGGAAGAATAGAGCTTCGGAAGAGTAAAACTCAAGAAAAAAGCTGCAAGTCCTACATCATTCAATTATCTGCACAGATATATAGTACTTTTAACACAGCTTTTGACGAGATTATACGGCTCACCAGTTGCCAGAAGTCTCCATGGGGTTATAAGATGCCCATACTTTGCAGTGAAGAGAAAAATGGGTGCCACCTGAAATCAGAGAAGCAATTACAAGTTAAAGAAAAGCATATAAACAAAACTTCACCCAAGGAAAAAGGAACTAAAAAAAGAAACATGCTTTAAGAGTCATCGAAGGCTCGCCAGAGAAAATCCTCTGGCACTTGGCCAAAACAGCATTTGTTGTGGGCAAAATTACTCGAGCAGCACAAAGAAAGTCCTCTTCTGAAAATTGCAACTTTCCGACTCTTGGCTTCTGCTGCTGCCTGCACAAAACTTTAACATCATTTGGACAGTTCTCAGAACAAATATTAGAGAAGAACTTGAAAGAGGAAAATTCTCAAACACCATTGAAGCAGAGAATCTTTGAGAAAGGCAACGCCCAAACTCAGAAGACCCACATGAGATGCTGCGGATATTATGCTGCAAATTCCCCAAAAGCAATACAAAACTGAGATTGATTATGTCAAAATACATATAAAAAATTGTAATTTATACAACAATACCTGAAATTAGAATCCTTAGAGAAACAAGAAGACAAGAAAAAGATCGACCCCGAACCAAACCACAGTGTCGATTTCGCGACATTCTTCCACATCAAAAGCTCCATAATCTTCTCCCATGCATTATCCTCTTCAATTTCTGCCTCATAAAACCCATATTATTCATTAGCCCAATATATCAAAAACAAAAATTATGCAAAAAAAAAAGATTTTTTTTTAATACCACATACTCGAAGCAACCAAACCCAGTTGTTGTTTGCACTTCAGGATATCATTACCAACGGCAACCAACTCATTCTCGTTCTCATTCTCTTGTTTAGCAACGATCACCTTCTCCAATCGCCTCCGAGTTCTTCTCCGATTCCCCGGCGATGCACCGGCGGCGGAGGCGGCGGTGGAGATCCTGGCCTTCCGTTTCCGTCGAGGAGCTGCAGATTGATTGGGGGGAGAATCATTGGTGGGGATTTTCTTTGATGGTCGAGGTTTTCTCTTTGATGAGGAGGGTTTGGGTGTGAGATTTAGGGTTTCGGTGGTTCCCGTTGGTGCGTCTTTCTGAGCGTTAAGGGGTTCGAGTTTGGATGGAGAATCCATGGAGAAGACAAATCAAACATTCAAATGGTTTAAAATCCAACAAATGATGAGGTGATGCTGGGGAGGGAGTTTTAGTCCCACATCGGCCGCGCGACGAAGTTCGAGAGGTTGAGGTAGTGATAAAACAGGGAGGGGGTGCAACAGTGAACCATACTTACCTGGACGGGGTCCTTGGGTGATCAAGGAGGCCCAGGCCTAGTCCAGTGGCCCAGATTGCACTCTGTGGGTGCGCTGGGCTACCATCTCCCCAAGTGGGAGAGTGGACGTCATAATTTGTTGCTGAGGGGGTACGCGCACGCGCGGCCCCCGCCCAAATGTAATATCAAATGTTTATGTAGCCCTAGCTCTGCGTCTTAATAACATTTAAAATCTGTTTAAATGTAAGCTGTTTAGGGGGTACGCTCGCTTTTTCAGACGCCTGTTTTAATTCAATTGGTAATTTTAGGATTATTGGACTCTGGAGCCTGTTTAGTTGGTAGTCTAATCTTAGGATTACTAGACTCGAGAGAAACAGATTCAATTGGTATTCTCACAAGATTGGTGGTGAATTTATTCTTGGGCCTTGTGCACACCATCCATCCCCGTCACACTATCAAAGCTAATCAGGCACCCATCACACTATCAAAGTTAGTCATGCCCGAAGTCGTTAACTTAACCGCAAGGACCTTGCACACACACCGCCTATCACACTATAGGAGCTTACCGCGGCCAAAGTCGTCACCTTAACCGCTAGGAGGGGGATGTCGAAGGCGGAGCTAGTGTTAGATATAACTAGTGTCACACTTGTGTCATATTGTGAGAAATTTTTCCTTTTAGACTTTTCACTCTAAATTTTTTCTTTTAGGAGCTTTTTTAAAGGGAGCACCCGTATTTTTGGGAGCTTTTCTTCAATTAATAATTATATATAAATATGATCTTATAGAAATCTATCAAACTGAAAATTATATCTGACTACACAACCTAAATTATCTTTATGTTGTAACTTTAATCTCTTTATCATTTTAGGATCTAAAGAATAAGATGGGTGTGAGAGGAATACATATGCAGAGACTCAATCTTATAAGGGATTTATGGGAGAATACATATAAATAATCTTTTTTTAAATACGCGTTGCACGTAAATAATCTAAATTGTATTATAAGCTTTGAGCTTACACTATGAAAATCGCAAAAGAGGTGTTATCACTTGTGTCATGCTTTTATTGATACTGTAACTATGTGCCAATGCCCTTCAATTCAATGGGTTTTCCTCATGGTAATTTTGATTTTCCTTACTGTTGGTTAGACGATTTGCAGACACTAGTAGAAAATCGATCAAACTAGACGGAACAAACTAGACGGGAAAAATTTCCGTCTAGTTTGGAGCAAACTAGACGGAAAATTTCCGTCTAGTTTGTTCCGTCTAGTTTGGATCAAACTAGACGGAAAATTCCGTCTAGTTTGACAAACGAGACGAAATAGTCAACCTAGACGGAAATCCGTCTAGGTTGACTAGTCAACCTAGACGGATTTCCGTCTAGGTTGAATCAAACATTTTTGCATATGCTCCAGTGTATATGACAAACATCATGATGTGAAAACCTCATCCCCTTCTTGCCCCGTGGACGTAGGCAACTTGCCGAACCACGTAAATCTCTTGTGTTAATTGGTGATTGTGCTTGTTTATTTGGTTGTGATCTCTCTTGTTTGGATTGTGTGATTCGACCGCTTCCGCGCCACGCACAACAATTGGTATCAGAGCTTCGGGTTCAACTTGAGGCTTGTTTGAAGGATTCGCCGAAGGATTCCTATTTGAAGAGTTAGATCGACAACATGGGTGAAGCAAGCACATCGGGATCGTCTCTTACGAAGACGATACATAGTTTGAGCATCAATAACATGAAGATCGATGTTCCGAAGTTTGATGGTAAGATCAATTTCGGTTTGTGGAGGTGCCAGGTGATGGATGCGTTGGGCGCTCAGAATTTGGAGGAGACTCTTGAGTTACAAGAGAAACCTGCCGAGATGGAAGCTAAGGTTTGGAAGAAGATGAATAGTAGGGCGTGTGGAGTTATTCGGTCATGCTTGACACCAGATCTTATTTATGATGTGATGAACGAGACTTCACCGAAGAAGATGTGGGAAACACTCAATGAAAAGTATCTTACTAAGAGCATTGAGAATCGGCTTCACTTGAAGAAGAGGTTTTATTAGTTCAAGATGAAGAGGGAAGTTTCTATTAGGGAGCATGTTAACAACTTCACAAAGCTACTTTCAGACATGGCTAATGTGGATATCATGGTTGAAGATGAAGACAATGCGATGCTACTTTTGTGTTCATTGCCCGATGATGATTATGGTACGTTTGTCCTAACTATGATTAATGGAAGAACTATTGTTAGTTATAAGGAGGTGACCTCAGCGTTGATGAATTATGAGTTGAGGAAGAGTGTTGATGAGTCCTCCGAGAAGGCATCGGGAGATGTATTAGTAGTTTATGTCCATGGTTCAAACCGAAGCAGGAGGTCACAGTCTAGAGGTGCACATCGTGGGATTCGTAGGAATCATTGTGCCTTTTGTAAAGAGGATGGACATTGGAAAGCTGAATACCCAAAGTTAGATCGAGCCGAGAAGAATAAGGGGAAAGCTGTACAAGCTTCAGAGGTGAATGTTGTCAAGATTAGTGGCAACAATTCAGATTCGGATTCTTCGGGCTCTTCATTGTCTGCACTGCCGTCAGTTTGTGTTGCTAACTCTACAGAGTGGATGTTGGATTCGGGTGCTTCATACCACGTATGCCCTAGGAGGGATTGGTTCTCCAGCTTTCAGAAGTTGGAAAGAGAGGATGTTATGCTCATGGGTAATGGACATGCATGCTCTATTGGTGGTATTGGTACCGTTCGTATTCGGATGTATGACGGAGTGATTCAGGAGTTGGAATGAGTGAGGTTCGTTCTGCAGTTGTCGAAGAACATCATTTTACTAGGAGCTTTGGTGGCATCTGGCTATAAAGTGACCTTAGAGGATGCACGTTTGAAGGTCACATTGGGGTCCATGATTGTTATGAAGGGCGTCAGAAGGAGCAATTTGTATTATTTTCTCGGAAGCACGACGGTTGATAGGGAGATGCCGACTTTATCAGATTCGGCTAGACTGTGGCGTTGTTTGATGCTGGGTTATTTGATTGGAAATGTCGTGCATAGATTTTTGAGGAGTGCTTTGACCTGCAGTTTGAAGTCCTGTGAACCCATTGGTATGAGCGAGAAGACCGAGGTGGAGTTTGGCACTTCTATCCATCATTCGAGGGGTTTTCTAAGGGGTGTTCATTCAGGCATTCGGGAGCCTTCCAACGGAGCATTATTGGGAGGTAATTGGTATGTGGTTTCCGCAGTTGGGGATGTTGGCCTTCTTGTTTTGATGATGTTTAACAAACAATTTACCACTAATGTTGTTTGTCTAGTATTTGTGTATTCTTATTTATTGTAGACAAACAACGTAGTTGGAGGATGGATGGATTGCGCTTCAACGATGATATCCAAAGGAGGTTGGCGGAATGTCGGTGTGAAGCCTATACAACAATTCAAGTTAAAGATCAAGTTCAAGCTTCATCCGCAACGTGTACCAAGTTGAGCTACAATGAAGATCAAGATTGCTTGGGTAATGTAGTTTTAGATTTTATATTATGTGTGTTATATACTCTAAGCTCAATATCTATACACACACATTTTATTGCGCTTTCTTCGATATATATTATAATATATATATATATTATATATATATATATATATATATATATAATATATATATATATATACATAAGTTTTGGTTTCTATGCATATATATATAGTTATATATAAACATACAGTGTTTGAGTTTTTATGCATTATATATATTGAAATTATATATTTCATATTTTCTATTGTGTTTTTAAAAACAATGCATAGAATATGCAATTTTGTGAAAATATTTGTTTTATTAGCTTTATAGACTTCAATATCAGTTCATACATGTTTTACTAAGTCTATAAAATCATTTTCTGTAAAGTTTCAAAAGTTGGTTTAGCCAAATGTCAAAATTCACATGTTTACATTTTCGTGTTTTGCGACTATTTTGCCTAAATGATGATATTTTTCACTTGTGGACTCCTTTTTCCGAAACCAGTCATTGTAGCATGTTTATTATCATGGCTCTACAATCATTCCCCAAAGTTTACATTTTTGGAATTTATTTGATATTTTAAACAGTGTTTTTTAAATCAGCAAAACAGGTTTTTCATGTGTCAGGATTCGGTCGACCCGCACCGTCGCAGCCGATCATTTGCATCTTTCTTCACTGGGCCGACAGAGAGTCTGTCGCGGTGACCGGTCCGGTCGACGAAAGCTCCATCTGGTCGACCGCACCGGTCGACCGACGAAGTCTCTGTCTGTTTTTTGTTTTTCAGACACCTGCTCGCGGTCGACCGGATTTTTCGTCGGTCGACCGAATTCTTTTTTCGGTCGACCGAACGATCTGTCGGTCGACCGCCAATAGATCCGTTAGACACTAACGGCTATTTTTCTGAGCTGTCTTCTGGGGACTTTTCTGTTATTTGTTTTGGGATTTTGACTGAGTTTTGGAGTGGGTATAAATACCCTATTGCCGTCTTCTTTCAAAATCTAAGAGAATGGTTTAAAAGGTTTTAACAAGGATTTAAACTTATTTAGTGTTTGTTTAAGTTTGTTTTAAGAAGTTTTTAAGCATTTGAGTGTTTCGGTTTTGTGATTCAATTCAACAAGAGCTTGAGGAGATCATCTATTGGTATTTGGGCATCCAACTCTTCTCCCTCCACTTGTGTTAGTTTATATATCCTTGCATATATATTTTGCTATATATCTCTTTGCTAGGATATATCGTATTGTATATTGCTTATCCTAGCTCATATATATTATTGCATTTCATACTTGCTAGGATAACTTATTAATAAGTTTTAATTGGCATTTGATCGGATTAGATTAGCATAAGACCCTAATCACCCCCACTCTAGGGTCTCACAATTGGTATCAGAGCTTGGTGCTCTTTGATTTAAGGTCTAATCGCCTTGAGTTAAAGATCCAAGTTATCTTTTTGTGCTAATCTTATTTTGATTGCATTTGTCTTGCTTGCACTCTTATATAGTTATCATG